CTTTAATAAATCCGGCTGCTAGGAGCCATTTTATTTCTACCCTAATAGCCTCCTTCTTGTCTGGCATGAATCATCGGAGCTTCTGCTTGATCTGCTTGACGGTCGGCGAGATATTCAAAGAGTGCTCGATCTTCTCCTGTGGTACCCCTGGCATGTCTACAGGTTTCCAAGCAAACACGTTGGCGTTGGCACGTAGGAAGGAGACGAGTGCGCTTTCCTATTTGGGGTCGAGATGAGCCCAATCTTGGCAATCTTGGTGGGGTCATCGAGGCTGAGGCCAACCTCCTTCGTTTCCTTAGACTTGGTAGAGGCACATGGAGGCTCCAGCACTAGGATCCCCAGGTCGTCGGTGGGCATCTTCTTAGCGTCGGTGACCGTACTAGCCATCTAGATGGAGAGGTCGGTGGCTTCGGCAAGGGAGAGACTCTCTGTTTCACAGGCGTAGGTGATGGAGAGGTTGGCCCGTAGGGCCATTACTCCTGCAGGCGAAGGCATCTTCAATACCAGATAGGCATAGTGCGGTATGGCCATGAACTTGGCCAGAGCTGGCCGACCAAGTATGGCGTGGTAGGCGGTGTTGAATTCAGCGATGTAGAAGTTGATGTGCTCGACATGGAAGATGCTGGCCATACCAAATTGTACCAAGAGGGTGATCTCTCCAAGCGGTCGAGATGCCCTACCAGGTACCACCCCCCAGAAGGAGGAGTCGGAGGGAGTGAGGTCTTCTACTCCAAGGCCCAGCTCCTTTAGAGCTCTGGTGAAGAGGAGGTTCAGGGCGCTTCCACCATCGATGAGTACTTTCCTAAAGAGTACTTTCTTGACGGTTGCATCGAGAACAAGGGGGAAATGCCCTATGTAAGGGATGTCCACCCACTGGTCAGCCCTACTAAAGGAGATGGGGATCTTAGACCAGGGGCGATAGCTGGGGTCAGCGATAGCGTCTTCTATGCTGACGGCGAGCACTTGACGGGCGGTGAGTTTTTGATCTCTTCTGTTCTTGATGGTGGCGATGCCCCCGAAGATAGTGGTGACCACTTTGTCATGATCCTAGAAGGCGTTATTTTTGTCCCGGGGTGGTCGGCGACCTCTAGCTCCATCGTTGTCGTCGTCCTTCTTTTTGGACTGGAACTCCTTGGCCAAGCCAAGGTAGTCCTTCATCTTGTGCTTGCTATTCTTGTGGAGAGGGTATAGGCCTTCGAGGATTTTCTTGCACTGCTCATCGTAGTTACATTTGGCATGGGGTTTTGTCAATGGTGGCAACAATGTTGTCTGGTCGGCGATAGCGATACTAACTAGCTTTAGACCCTTCTAGTCGATCGCGACCACTGTCCTGATGGCGGTCGCGGTCGTCGTAGCGGCGGTCACTGTGGCGTCGTTCGTCAGGGCGATCGTCGCTGTGGTGAGTTGGGCGGTGAGTGCTCGCATCCTCATTGAAGTGAACTTCAGCCTCTTCAGCATCGGTGTATTGATTGGCGGTCATGATCATCTCGCCAATCCCCTTTGGTGGCTTACGATTGAATTTGGAGCGGAGGTCGCGGTGATGGAGTCCTCTAACGAAGGCGGTGATGACTTCTACTTCCGTGATGTTGTGAATAGAATTCCTCATCTCAGAAAATCATCTGATGTAACTACGGAGGAGCTCAGACGGTTTTTTGATAAATGCGATTCAGATCGTGCTTGGTGCTCAGCCGAGTACGCGTAGCCATGTAATTCTCGGTGAAGACCTTCTTCAACTGTTCCCAAGATTCAATGGAATCTAGGGCGAGACTCGTGAGCCAGTTCATTGTGGTCGGTGTGAGCATGATGGGAAGATAGTTCGCCATGACATTGGTATCTCCCCTGGTGGCTCACACATCTGTGGCATAAACTTGTACCACTGTATGGGGTTTATCCGCCCCTCGTAGGGTTTGACCCCGGTGATTTTGAAACCACAGGGCCACTGGAGTGTTCGGAGTGCTCTCGTGAATACTCAGGGTCCTTCAGGATCATCACCGTCGGGATCGGCAGCATTGCCGACGTTAAGTGGCTAGAGGGCTGCATCCGGATTACTGAATTCTTACTCGTATTCTTGACGCCGGCGTACTTCCTCCTCATGTTGAGAGAAACGACGCCCATCGATATGACATCGTGCATCTCGAAGGTTGTTGATGTGTTCTCGGACATCTTGATCGACTTCTTGGTCGTGTTGGCGAGGGTTGTTGATATGGTCCCCCCTAGCCCCCCTAGATGGGTCGTCTATCATCACGATGTTGGTTGGTGAAATGGCTTCTGCTGAGGCGACGATTGGATCTTGGTGCGGCGGATCGGCGATTCGAGCTTATCGAGTAGGAAGGTCCCTGATCCTGACAGATCTCGTTGACCTAGCAGTGTGCAGCTTTAAGCATTGCGGCGACCTTGGCGACCTCTAGCGTTTGTTCGAGCCGAGAGAGCTCATTAGCGGCCACGACCAAGTTGGCGCTTTTGGTCTTGTAGACATCGTGGCTGTCAACACGGACGAATTCGTCGTCGAGGTTGCAGCGGAGTGGGCGTGGCCTCCCTTACGAGTCGAGTTGTTCTCCGTTGTGAGCAGCCTCAGCTAGCACAATGGCGGCCTCATTCGCTCGGCGCTGCGCACGGTTGGCATTTCTGTTGATGCGAGCTGCGCGATCCTTGTCGGTTTCTCCATCCCGTGGAGGGCTATCGATGCTGACATTAAAAATCCCACCTCCATGGAAGGGTGGAAAAGGAGGTTGGGTGATGGCGGTTTCGGCGACAATCTCCGTAGAGCCCTGGGGCTCAGAGTCTGGATTTTCCTCCAGAATGGTGTGGAGGGATTCTTCGGGATGTTGGCCGATTTGCAGCATGTTGACAGTCGGCGAGAGCTAGTCGACGATCAGGTCGGCGAGAGGATAGATGTCTCCAATCTGGTCGGCGAATTTGTCCCTTAGGGCATCCTGATGGATGGCAGTCGTATCCCCTGGAGTTTGCCGATCAGTTTCCGATAGATCGGGACCGAAAGGTGGTCGGCGTTGAATTAGAGTGGTCGAAGCCGATTCCATGAGAGAGAGGCAGTCGGCGAGCTTTTGGCTGACCTGATCGATAGATGCGATCAGATCGTCGTTGTTGACCTGCTTCCTCGAGTAGCGGGGCAGCAGGTGGCGGGTTGTTGGTGAAGACGACCTCAGAAGTGGTTTCGAGATCAGATCTGCTGTTGCAGGCGTGGTGTGGTCGGCGTAGAATCGATCTGCACCAGCTTGATGATCTCTCCGTCTCCGTCAGTATTGATGACCCCACAGATCGATCCGACCGTAAAGATCTGGCCGGGCTTTGGAGCGGACGAAAAGCCTAAAAAGTGTACCATCTTGTTCGTTATGAAAACAGCACGCACACCCCTACCTAGCACGCCAACTATCGATAGAATATCGTCGGTAGTCCTCCGAGGGGTATCCCATGAAGATAGATTGATCGGCAGAGGTGCGCGTAATCAAGAACAAGAAGGCAATAGAGACACAAGAGTTAGATAGGTTCAGGCCATCAGCATGACATAATACACTACTCATATGGTCTATTAGTTTGTATTGGCTATTGTATGATATTGCGTGTGTTTTGAGGGGGTCCCCTACCCGCCTTATATAGCCGGGGGTAGGGTTATAAGTCGGTTAGATCTAGGAGATAACCGGTAAGTAATAACATATTATAGAAATCATGGGATCGAGCATATCGTAACAGATCTCGTAGCATCTTTAGGATATCGTCCTTGATGTCTTGCGGTACGCGCCGAGCAGTACCATGCACCGTAAGTCTTCGTCTTATGGACTGGACCACTCTTGACAGCACAGCCCATGTAGTCTGCCGTGGGTATCCGAGGTCATACCCCCACAACGCTGAAGCACTCGATGCCCATGAATAGAACCGCAATGTTTTGGTTTTTCATCATAGTCATCCTTATCGATTACCGCATGTACGACATCAAAAAAAAGAAATCATCATCATCACCTGACGACGATGAATCATCTAACACCCGGTTCATGAGAAAGCTATGTTGATCCATGGCAGATCCTTTTTTCTTATCTCGAACTAGAATTAGACAATATTATAGAAGATCTTTGTGGTGTCGTAACAAGTCAGACGACAAGAGGAGCGCTAGCAGAGAACAGGCAAGGACACAGGCGATGGCGATGAGCACAAGCCTGATGGCAGCGCTAGCATATATGGAGATCAGCCTGCCCTCGTACGTGTATTGCAAGGTTGGAGACCTAGAGTCACCATACCAGGAAGGATGAGCGGACAGAAAAAGTCAGACTTTGAGCTACGGAGGAAAGAACAGCTGGCCGACGGAAAGTCAAAAGTCGAAAAAGTCAGAATCTAACTAATTCTGTTTCTAGCCCGTCCTCATCCAACTAATTGACGATGTGGCAAGTTCAAAATATTTTTAGGTGTAACGTGGAGAAAACTAGTTTTTGAAAAACAATTATTTAAGAGAACCCCATACAGAGTTTTGGGAGCTATATTTTTTTAAAAACTCTCATAGTTGCTCTTAATTCTAATATCTGCTCCTAAGAAAATTAACTGGACCCGTTGACCCCATCCGTGGTGAAGCCCGACTCCCCATCTACCCGATCCCACGCCCACTCCCCCGACTCCCCAAGCGCGCAGACTGCTCCCACGGTCCCACCACTCCCTGCTCTCCCCCGTCGGTCGTCGCCCTTGCCCCGCGCCTCTTGCCCCTCGCTGCCGCCGGCTCCACCTCGCGCCCCTCCTTCCCCGTCGCCGCTGCCCTGGCCCGCGCGCCCTTCGGGCGGTCCCCATTGGCTGCGCCCGGCCGAGCCGCCACCGCCCATGCCTGCGCCTGGCGGCCGATTGGGCTGCTCGCGCGCGGTAGGGGCCAGTGCGGGTGGCGCGCGCGAAGCAGGTTCGAGCGGGAGCGCGCGCGGAGCAGGGCCTGCGAGCGGCACCCACGGAGCTTGTTCGCGGGGCCGCGCCCGGAACGGGCCCGAGCAGGCACGCGAGGCCGCTCCGGATCAGCCGCACGGTGCCGTGTCGGCAGGCGCTTCGGGCCACGAGGGGACAGCTCCATGGACCTGAGCTGCTGCCGGTTCTCCGAGCTTGGTGGAGGGGCTCTGCAAGGAGGCGACGACGACTCGGAGGAGGAGAGGCCTCTGGTTCTGCGCAACAAGGCGCCAGGCTTCTTCTGCTCCTCCGCAGGCCGCAACACCTCCTGCGCAGACGCAGCCGCGGGCCTCGGGTCCGTCGTCGTCGTCCAGCCATGACCCGGTGATCCTGCAGTTCGGCAAGGCCATGAGGCCTGCGCTCATCCCGCTGCAGATGAAGGTGGTCGACCTGGCCGATTGATGCTTAATAATGCATTGATTTAGTACCGTGCAGCCTGAGTGCTGTGTGGAGTATTACTGCCACTTTTTCCATCCTTGATGACAGGGAGAATGCTGGACAAAAGCAATGGTGACATAGCTGCCGACGGGTACAAGTACAAGGTGGAAAATTTTAGCTGTGAGGGCAATTTTTCTGCTGGTATCGAGCTGTTTGTTTCTTACTGTGCCTGTCAACTAATAACCTTTTGTCTGATCTCTAAATATTTTTATTGAAAAACTCTGGAATCTAAATATGAAAATTGCTGTCCTTAGTCTTAACATATAATTTATTGTGTTGAAATACTGTTACTACTGAGATCAGCGTGCTGAATGTTTCAGCATACGGAGAGGAGTATTCTTGATTTGTTTCTTGCTTTAACCTAAACCATCTTATGTTTCAGGATGATGCTAAGCTCATAACTGACAATAACCTGGAGGCGTATAGATTCTCTGTCTCCTGATCCAGGCTTATACCAAGTATAACCATTTTTTGTGCAGAAACTTTATCGTGTATGAAGCAACAAATTTCAAGGATCTTCGATTAAACTTTCGTAAGTTAAATACACGATGGCTAGACACGGTATGCCTATTGCAAATAAATTTTGAATGGTATTTATATCTGGTAATTGTTTGAACATAAGCAATATCAATAACTATTGGGTTCTTCAGGTGTCCAAGTCCCTCTGTTTGTAATTATATGACATTTAGGACAAGCTAATGTATGTCACCTATGTGCCCACGTCTCCTAAAGTTGCAGGTGCCTGCCTGTGAGGCACCAGAATGAGTGAGCTCTTACTTCCTTTCCTACCAGCCATCCCTTTACTACCACCAAGTATTAGTTTGCATCTGAAAGAACCCAACCCCTCCCTCACCCACTCATGTTGGTATTGCATTAGTACTAAAAAGGTAAAAATGCGTTGATCATTGATTTAATCATGGCTACAACTGATATAGGAGATATGTCTTCGTCCAATTACATTGATTCAATCTCCTTTTTTTTCCAACAGGAATTCTTGTGCCACTTTAAAGCCTGGACTCGGCAGCTACAAACATGAGTGATAACCTGAACTTAGAGCAGATGAAGGGTGTTGTACTTGAGTATTTTCCTGTAACTTATTTGTGTAGTATTTTAACCTTTGGTGTGAAACAATGGTATTCTAGCATATAATTAATTCTTTTGATTTGTTGGAGGCTCTATATTTAAGTAGTCTTTCAAATTTGCTTCATGCTCAGTTTAACATTTTCTGTTTGTTCTATGAATGATCACTGAGATGTATGGGTGAATTTGAGCATTGATGATATAATGGCAACTTAGAATTTTGAAACTCCCGTAGCAATGTACGGGCAAATGCTAGTCAAATAGAATTTGAGTCACGATCGAGGGGAACACGTCGTATGATTTTGCAGCAACAACGCCGTTGTTTAAGGAAGCGGGTTCGCGCGACGCGGATCGGGGTTTGGGCCTTTTCGTGAAAAAAAAAAGTCACACAGACCCAAAACTAAGTATTAGGCCGGATTAGGCCCAGTCCATTTTGCCCACGACAGGTACGAGCTCGATTTCCGCAGTTCCGCTGAGTTAGCCCAAACGTTCGATTTATACTTATATAGGGCCCAAATACGGTGACCTTTGTTTTCTGGAGCTAAGCAGCAGAAATTGGTCAGTCACAGACTCACAGTTGAATCGAGATGCAGCAAATGGTTCCCACAAAGTCACAGATAGAAAATCCCGTTTTTTTCTCAAGAGAAAAAAGTTATCCAAGTCCATGTATTATGGAGTATATATACTACAAACACATCGTTACGGGAAGATCGTCTACTACAAAACAAAACATCCAGTGTCGGTCACCGGTGCCCATGAAGCATGAACGAACTGCAGCAGCAAAGGCTCGCATTAACTCAGCTGTAGCGCAGCGCGCACAGGCGGCAGAAGCACCGGATCATGCTATTGCATTGCTAGCTCCAGCACAGGCGTGTCTGGCGGTCTGGCGTCGTCACAGCCCTCGCGACGCGCGCCGGGTCCTCTGAGACCGCTGCCCTGACCCCGCTCCGCTCGGGTCGGCCGCCCCCACTCGCCGGGGCAGGGAGCGCCTGCGCGCGCGGCATGCGTCGACCACGCGCTGCCGCGCGCACCCGCCCCCGCCAATGGCAGCGCGGCCACTCGTCGCGCCCCCTTCCTGTCCGCTCGCCACGGCGCGCAGCACATGCCGCGCATGCAGCAGAAAACGATTAAAGAGATCGCGCCAGTAGCATCCAAAAGGCAGGTTAGCTAGACGTTAGAGCTAGCTCTCTCGGTTCTCCTCGGGCGGGGAGACGGAGAGACGACGAGGCGACGCGCCCCGGCCCGGTTGGTCTCGTGCGGCTGGCTACCAAAAGCTAGCTAGCTAGGCCCGTGGTTGGGTTTCCAGTAGGACATGGGGGCTTGCCGCTTGCGTTGCATGCATGCATGGTCCACGTGTGTTGGCTCGTGTACGAGGAGTGTGTACGTATCGGCCTTACGTGTCCGTCAATGTGATACCATACCAGCAGCAGCAGCGTGCACTACATCATCCATCCATTAGTGCAAGCCATCTAGAAAGGTGACTAGCTAACAGTGACCGGTTTTCTACGCCAATAGTAATATATTACATATCATGCATGGTACAGTACTGGCTTATTTATATCTGTACTCCGTAGACTTAAACTGAAAAGCTAGGATAGGTAGTACACCCGATTCCTGAGAAATTAAACACAGTAAAATTGAGCTTGACTAGAGGACGGAACGGAAGACGCATGCATTGGACGACGTACGCAAGCGTCCCGTCCCATCCAAGTCAAAGACTGTTCGTCAATCGTCACCAACGTTTTCATCGATGGGATGACGCATTTGTCACATTGCACCTAGATGGCTAGATCTAACAGATCTCTCTCAACTTTTTGTGTGCGTGTATGTAAAGTCTAGCTTATACGAGCGGTGACCAACAGCACGTGCAGAAACATTAACGTATTAGGCGGCCGATACCCGATGATGTTGGTTTCATGGTTTTGTACTTTGGTTGAGGGGCAAGATTACTGCGCTACTGACGCATAGTGCAAGCATGTTCATGTTTGTGGTTTAAGATCCGGTGGAAGTTCTCAAAAACAAAAAAGAGAGAGTAAAGTGCTTAAACTTGCACTTGCTTGTGTAGGAGTATATACGCCGCTGGCTGGTGGGCAATGCCGCAATAGTGACCAATGAAACCTAGCAACGCCCACTCGCCACGCCCCATGAATGGCCCCCGCACGGCAGCGAGCCAGCCAGTGCCCGCGCGCGGCCCAGCCAGCGGAACGCGCCACGGGGGACGAGGACGAGGCGCCCGAGGCAGCGCGGCATGGCGAAGGCGAGGCGCAACGCAAGCCGAAGCGGCCAAGCGACCAACGTGCAGCCCCCTCGCCCTCGTCCCAGGCTCTCTCCCACTGGAATCCACCCAACCCGCCCTTCCTCTCCAAAGCACGCGCCCCGCGACTCGGCTCCGCCTACGTGTCAGCAGCGTCCCCGCCGGTCCCCCGCCGGGCGCCCACGTACCCCGCCGCGCTCTCCCACGTGCCCCTCCCTCTGCGCGCGTCCGATTGGCCGACCCGCCCTTCTTAAACCGCGCCTGCCCCCCCGTCCGGGGACCCAACGCCGTGCTCCGTCGTCGTCTCCGCCCCAGAGTGATCGAGCCCACTGACCTGGCCCCCGAGCCTCAGCTCGTGAGTCCGCCGGCACCGGCAGCGCGCCTCGCCATGGCCATGGTGCAGCCGGCGGACACGGCCGTCAAGGCCAACGAGATCCTGGCGCGGTTCCGGCCCATCGCGCCGAAGCCCACACTGGCGGCCGCGGCCGCGGTGGCGTCGCCCGTGGCGCAGGCCGCGACCGAGGGCGTCGTGGCCGCCAACCGCGTGCTGTGCCATCTGCAGAGCAGGCCGTGCCGCGCGCGGAAACACGGCCGCCCCAACGTCGTGCCGGTGTCGCCGCCCAAGTCGGGCTCTGGCGCGCACTCGCCCGCCAAGCGGAAGAGAGCGGCGACGCCGTACCCGCCTCTCCGGTGCGCGGCGGCCACGGGAGCGCATGCGTCCGCGGTCGTCCCGGTCAGTGCGCGCCTCCCTCTGCCGTCGCTCCCGCCGGCGAGTGCGGGTGCCGAGGACCTCGCGAAGGTGGCGGCGGAAGGGAGGGACGTCCCCGTGGAGCGCGACCTGCTGCGGAAGCTGCTTGAGCCCAAGGTCATCTCGCCGCGGGCGGTGCGCCCCGTGTGCTCCGCCATCCACGTCGGGTGCATCCACCGCACCGACGCGACCTGCACCGCCGCCGCCTCGAAGACGGCGGTTCAGGTGGAGGCGGAGCTGGAGGTCGACGCGCTCCCGGCGGTGGTCTCCGACTCCAGCAACCGCGTCCGGCTCGTGAACGACGCGTACAAGGAGATGGTGGGGCAGCCCGAGTGCCCGTGGCTCGACGCCGTGGCTGCGACGTCGAGGAGGATCAGCGGGGAGGTGGCGCTGGTGGTAGCCGACCAGTCCTCCCTGCCGGAGACGTACGGGGCGTTCACATGCACGGCAAAGATCGAGTGGGAGGACGACGGGAAGGTCACCTCCACCGCTGTACCCTGCGACGTCAGCCGGCTGCACTGCGAGTCCAGAGACTACCTCTTCACCTGGAGGTTCCGTACCGCCGACGCCGACGCATCCGTTGGCCACAGCTCCGAGGAGATTAGTGAGAGTTAGGGAAGCTTGCTTGAGCTGCATTCTGTATACACTGCAATGAAACCAAGCGCATAGGCTAGGCTGCTGGCTGCATGTTTAGAACTGATCAGTTTCCTCTTTCGCGAAGTCCATAGGATGTAGACCCAGTTCTGAAATCTGGAGTAAATATAAGATGTCGACTGGAGAATGCAAAGGAAATATAACCTGTACTTTCATGAAACTAACCTACTACCTGACTATTCTCATTTCATAACTATGGGTTGCCCATGAACACACGGACATGCAAGAGTGGTCGTGCGTAAGTAGCAGACTGGCAGCTCATGTGTGATATAGCCAAAAGCAAGTAGGCATCGTCATTCAACTCAGAAATGGTATGATGTCTCTTTTTCAGATACCAGCCAAGCAAGCACACAGGATTGAAATACAACAATGCCATCCACGAACAAACGATTTGGAAGGATACTATTTTGTTTGATTGCAAGATCATGCTTATTACAAGTTTGATAGATGCATATTCTAGCTCGTACTTTCACAACGGACACGATTGAAAGCAAAGGCGGTCCAGGAGGAAAACAACATCGTCCCAATGTCAGGCTCAGAGACTAGAGGTCTAGAGCTCAGGAGGAAAACAACATGGTCCCAGTGTCAGGCTCACAGACTAGAGGTCTTGAGCTCATGCTTGCTCCGCCTTCGGGGGGCCTCTCCACTTGAAGTTCTCAGCGTAAGCCTTAGGCTGCATGGTTAAAAAACAATCCCAGTTATCACAACCAAGCCAATGTATTTTCAGCAACACCGATCAGTGATCAGAACGAAAAATATCAATTCAAACATATAAACACAATTATTCTATTAGCACAAAACATGGCATACGTGAGCCATATCTCACATATGACAGACACCAAATGAGGCAATTGGCTAGACAGCAACGCAAGTTATCACCTTAGAATGAAGCATAGCAATAGAAAGGTAAATCATTTCTCCAGTTCATGCAATATAAATAGATACACTACTTTGAACTGTCCCAAAGCAAGCTTATTCCAGCAACTGTATTGCTTTAAACTAGCATTTGCTTCTATAGTATTAAGGTAAAGTACAGCTGGTAATGAGCCAGTTCCATCGCCTGATTGGACCTGTGCCCGGACGGTCACTGCAAACCAATAGCATGCACGTTGCATCAAAATAATTGGATCGGACTAGTATAGTGCCAGGCAAGTACAGAAATAGCTGAGGAGGATTATTGGCCTTACTGTTTAGCTTTCAGGACATTCCACAAGCATGCAAATATTTAACTTCGATACTATATCACCTGTGTGCCCGTATCTGTTCCTTACTGTTTATCAAATAATTGTGTTTTGATGTAGTAATGCACTTGCTGCTTGTAATTCTAATTCTGGCATAACAAGTGAACTGACACATACCTCAAATGCTAAAGCAAAATCGCTGGTCTCAGGGATAAAAAGCCTAATTCTTAGCAGGTATATGTCTTACATGTAAGAATGCATGCACCGTGAGAAAACTGCCAGAACAGCAGTCACATTGCATCAACAGAAACATCGATTCAACCTACCGAGTATATGGCAGCTAGCACGTAGCAGCGTGTCCTTATCCACATCCTACTAACGAAAGATAGGGTTCAAGTGTCAACCAGGATGGTAAAACTCCGCCAACTGTTCCATAGTTCACACATTCATACATCGTAGCTACAGCACTAATGCCAAATTTGGCTTTTTCTTCCCAACCTCTGACTTCTCAGTTATAAAAAAATGTTGAAGGACTCAAACAACTTACTTAAAAGGGGACATACAGTGGCCATGCAACATGTGAACATCAAGAAATCGTTCAAATGCTACCATCAGCAGCAGGTAATCCATTTCGGGCCTGTTCGCTGGTTGGGGCTGGTGCTGGTTTTTTGTGAGAGAAAAACAATGTTGGCTGGCTGGTTTGAGCTGGCTGAAACCAACAAGTGAACAGGCTGTTCAAGTGCCCATTACCTCTTTCCTTTCAATCAAACTTTTTTTTAAACTAGACTAGGAGCACTGGCATATCATGTAAGACTCATATGGACAACTATACTGACCGCACGCTCAAATATAGGTGAGACTGATCGAGAAATCTCAAAACGCATCTACCGAGCACACGCACACACACCCTACTCACGCACACGCTGAGTTCCCTCAGGGTAAAATCCCCAGTGCAACACCCGGCCGATCCCAAGACTGGGAAATAAACTTGACAGGTGGCCTCCATGACGCGAGGAGCCACCACTGCACTGTGAGCTTCGCAATTAAACCTTTACAATTCCTTTTCCTCCCTTCTGCCCTTCTCCATGCTGGTGTTACCCATGATGGTCAATCCCTCCCTCACCCCAAGGTAAGGTAGTCCCCACCTCAACCAGAATGAGCTCACGCACACACAAGCACCCACAAGTCAGACCCAAACTCCTACCTCCTCTACTATTCGAACCGTCGTCTTAATAATCCACAGCACAACTCCCTCACTAGGTTGACCCCCCCCCCACACACACACTGCCTCTGCCACACATTATAACAAGCATCACGTAATCTTTATCCACACAATCAGCACTAAGGTACACTGTAGCATTTAACATGTTTATGTCAAAGATGAATACTATTGTATTTATCATGTACAAACATGCTGAAACATGCCAAGTTGCACACAGAAAAATAAGGCCATTTACTGTGAAATGCTTTTAAATTTAGTTCAGGTAATAAGATGTGTAGTAGATAGATAGCAATAAACAAAGTTCAAAAAAGGCTTCTAAACCAAAAAGATACTACTAAGGTAGAAATCTTGTATGAAGAAAGACACTAAATTTTTGTCAATATTTGCAGCTGAATTTTCATAATCTGACTGATTTTTCACCGTACAATCCACCCATGCAAATTAAGTATTCATCTATAGAACAGAAACTTGGATCTCCGATGTTCCAGGCTTCCAGCACTCAATGGTTCACTATCTTGCATATTACATACATACAACAGCAAGGTGGCATGTGGAAAGAGAATATATCTTGGAAATATGATAGCATACCATTTCATTAAAGCATCATTAATATATCTGGAAAAACTTTATGGATCTTGTCCCTAACAAGTGTCTTTCACTTCACAGTTCTTGCTTGAAACTTAAATTACTTCCTATGACTTGTCATTGCACCAAAACATGCACACAACACATACACTGAGGAAATAGTATATTCTACCGCCACAATGGCATTTGTAATTTAGATAGAATATTTAGTTGTGAGGGTTTGTACTGCACTGGGAAAAAAAACAGATGCACTGTTGACAATATACAGCTGTATAAGATAAACTTTGCAAGAAGATGACAAGACAACTTTGTAGGATCTAAATACATGGTAAAAGAAAAGCATTAACAAATCAACAAGGATATGTAGGGAGACATACATACCTTCAGAAGAGGTGTATGGCGTTTCCGAACCTACAAAAAAAGAGGCAATGTAAGTATAGTCCTGCATTTTTAAGAAACCTTCATTTCAAATCATTGGATACTTCAACAGTAGCCCAAAAGAATATATCTAGAAAAAAATACAATGAAAATATGGCTTCAGTTTAGTTCAGAAATAAAACGAAACACTATATGCATTCAACAAGAAAGCTACAAGCGCCAGTAGAATTGGAAATGAACAGTAGGTTTTGTAGAGTGATCTATCGGTTATCAATAGCAGTATAGCACTTGTGTTGAATAATAGCCCCATAGGAGCAATACCACAATAGATAGGAGTACACGGAAAGAACTCTAGTAACATATACATAAGGGACTTTATACTTCTAACACTACCACCAGGTATAGTGCAATACTACATCAAATGAAGTTATAGTGATTTCAACTTGAAAAGATAGAACTTAAAGCAAGCAGCACAAGTACAAACTGGAAGCAAATAATTTGCATCGAAAAGCATTTCAAGATTAGCTTGAGAAAAAAAGTAGGTAGTAAGACATTTTAGACAAAGTACAGCACTACATCCTCACACTAGATATTGTCATCAACCTCATGTTTTCCATTAGTTGACAAAAATCAGTATGAAAATGCTATCGAGGGACTAGTATGTGACAGTAGAAAAAAAAAAAACTGGACCTGCGAGGGTATGACCACCCCCAGGCATTGCATTAAGAAGACCTTCTCACGCAGGCCCAGAAAACCCCCGAACCCCTGCCCCACCCTTACACAGGGGCACCGTCGCCCTGTGAGGCTGGGCCTGTCCTTAGACCTGTGCTTTGGCGTGGGACAGAATAGGGGAATTTTTTAACCCCAGCCTGAAATTCGCTCCCACGGGGAGTGGAACTCAGGACCTGAGGAGTGCCGCCGGGACGCTCTAACCAGTTGGACTAGAGGCCCTTTGGCAGTATGTGACAGTAGAGCAATAACTATTATTTGGAAATTAAAATTACTAAAAAAAAACTCATTATAACTGGAACAAAACTATATATAGTGCATCTTGAAGTCTATGTTCATTTCTACCTCAATAGATGAACCACAAACAGATCTAGTTTGTCTACCATCACTGCTTTGTTAGACAACTAAGCATCAATACCCTATAATTGCTTCCTCAAAATTTAACTTTATAAAGATAAAAGGAGGAGTAAAAAGACCCCACAGCCACATGTTAAAAAGAGTGTCATTCAAGCTTGCTTCAATCTTTCCAAATAGGCCTAAAGTAGCAACCGCAAATAGAGCATCTAAATTTCGTGTGATATCTACAAGGAAAAAACGAAACCCACGACATAATTCCATCCATGTTTTTCAGCAAACGCCTTTGCTGACTCTGCACTGTCAAACGTAAGTCCTGCTTCACCGACATTAGCATATGGGTCCCCAGTAGATGTCCATCCCATCAACGGGTTCTCCCACCTAGCATGGATTCAAATGACAACCAATTTGTCAGAGGATGTTGGGGAGGGCGGATTTATTTACGAGAAAACGATAAAACAAACTGCAACAGTTGTCTAATTACTTCCTTCGTTTTGCAGCCAAATAATTTAATAAGCTCTGATGCAATCATGCATGCATATGGTCTACGTCCAAAAAATGAAAATAAGGAGAAATGACCACACTGGTCCAGCATCTGGTGTACTGGCCAAGGGGCATGTTGCATTCACACCATTTTACAGAATTATAACCCTACAACGAGCTGCTACTCAACAGAAGAACCCATCATTACATCAGACGGATGGTAAAGTCATAATGCAGTTTCCAAGGGTGCGAGTAGTGCAAACCAAAAGCATGGCACTTAACACCCCCCAAAAAATAATAATAATAATATTAAACAATACGAGTATTGGCAGATCTAAATTGTATGATGTTACTGAAGTTCCAGTCCAGTAACAAATAAGAATAATAGGAGAGTTTAAGAGAAAGATAAGACTCTACATAACCATTGAGAATCGCAATGCATACTCAAGTATAGTCATTGTTAAGAACTAGCATTAATTTCTGGGTATATACTCCCATTCCATCTTGAGACCATGTAATTTTGTAGTGACATTAAGTGATTGGAGAAAGGGACTTCAGCAGTGCATCAACAATTGGAAGTTGGTAACATGTAACTGTAAGATAAATCTATTAAGGTAGCCAATCTGACAGCAACAAAGCCTTAGGGATAAGATTCAGGGAGGCAAAAAAGGCTAAAAAAGCAGAACAGGAAGCATACTTTTGGGTTGACAAAAAGTTAATTTTCCACCTCCCGACTTTGCCTGAACCTTGCTGGGATGCAGTCCTAGCTGGTGAATAAATTAAAACCTGACAATTCACAAGGATAAGCTGACCAGTTGTGAAGAAGAAACTGAAGCATTCCCATTGGCAGAGATGCATAAATTACAAGAACAAAAACCAGAACATATCAGCAGTGAGCATATCTGTTATAATTGACCCTCTTCATCTCAAAACATAGTTAGTGTCCTACTTATAAAACCAGACAATACTGCCAGTTCAACCAAAAAAAGAAAATGGAATCCATGCTTAGTATGGTCCAGTGCGTTAAGTGTTAACTAATAATTTTCCAATTAAAACTGGGAAAATGATAATTTAGTTCCTTCTGGAGTGGGTGAGAGGTTTTAGACTGCCGACCTACTGCCTGCACTCCACGCGCCACAGGATGCAAAAGAAAAGGGACATGCATGCTTTTGTCGCTTGAGTGACTTGGCTATATGTGAAGTTGTGAACCTTTAGGCTTTAGTTATGCACAAACATTTAACCCGCAGTAAGTATAGGCATATAGCTACTTTGAACCAACAATAGGACCAATGAAATGGGAACCATAGCTTCAGTTATCTGGGTCTCAAGCTTGTGTGATGGGACAATACAACAATAAAGATTGGAAAGTATAGTATTTAAGCCAATCGAGCAAAAATGGTGGTATATATTAAAAGCTTCAAACATAACAGTGCTACTTTTCTATAAGATATAGACCAATGGGCAATGGCACATCACACAATAGTGTTCATGAGGTGAAGCTTCTTCCTATAAGATCCAAATCTGATTCTGATATTTTATTTCAACATTGATTTCACAAAGCTCACATATGTTGCATCTAAGTGTAACTAACCCTGCACGCATCTATCCTGATGAAAATTAGACAACTAACATCCACCCAACATAATCTAGGCTCTGATGATGCTCAGTTTCCTGACCCAGACATGCCCATTTTCATCACAAATACTTCTAGAAGCAAGCATAAACGTGCACATTCCTCTCACAGAAGACCCTCTTGCAGAGGAATCGAACTGGGTCGCCAACTCGACATGAGGGGAAACCCACATCTTATACACATTCTTCTAGTTCACAGCTTGACCTTCAGACCAATCGATAACAAAACAGAACAACGATTTAGCATCTGTATCCCACACCATACTCCAACCACAACCGACACAATGATCCAGTCCCAGCGTCCCCGTATTGACTCCAGAACGAACATCTCTCAAGACGCCCGCATGGATCACACCAGCTACCATTTCCCAGATAAAAACAGAACACAAGAGGGAAGGGATGCACCGCGTTACCTTGCGGCGGAGGTGCTCCGCAGGGATGCCGGAGACCATCCCGATCTCCCCGGGCTTGATCTCAACGAGGGCATCGGAGGCCTCCGCGGAGAGCGTCCGCGCAGGCGCCGGCGTAAGAAGCGCGCGGCGAAGGGAGGGGAGGCTCCGCCGCAGCGGGGCAGCCATCTCGTCGGAGCCGTACACCGGAGAGGAGGCTGAGGGGAAAGGGGGGAGCTTGTGAGCGCAGCGGTCTGCTAATCTGCGGCTGAACGACCTGGTTGGATCGAGAATATGACGGAGCGCATCCTTCTTCTTGGGCCACCAGCCCATAATTGTTGGGTACTAGGACCGCACAGTACACTGGGTTAGGCCTTAGGTAAAAAGAGCAATGGGGCCTTATTTAGATTGCTTCAGAGTTCCAAGTTTTTTCACTCTCTCCCCGTCACATCGAATCTAGGGACACATGTATACAGCAGTAAATATAGATAAAAAAATAACTAATTACACAGTTTAATTGTAAATTACGAGACGAATCTTTTGAGCCTAGTTAGTCCATGATTGGACAATAATTGTCAAATACAAACGAAAGTGCTACAGTGCCAAATTTTTCTAACTCATGCAATCTAAACACGGCCTGGATCTTTCGCAGGCCGGTCTTTGGCTAATTAGGCCCGGAAGTGTTTGTATGATTGTATCATGCATGACACTAAAAATGCATGGTAGTATATACTATTTTTTTTCTCGAATACGCAGGAGCTCTGCATATCATTTTAATTAAGAGAAGAGAGTTTAATAGTCTATCAAAAATGCATGGTAGTATATACTTCCGGTCTTGCATGGTAGTATATACTATTATACTCCATTCAGTCACAAATAAATTATGCTTCGGTGACCCAGTCTTCAAAATACAAATTTACTATTATCTTTTATAGATCATTTCCAAGTATCCAAACTCAGCACATAAACTGTTTAGAATACAATGTCTGAACTAGTCTATCAAAAAAACGAAAAGAAAAGAAAAAACAAAGGCAAACAGAAAGACTTTGCATGGTGGCATACTGGCATGCGTGAAGAAAGGACAGCAACCTTATCTGCAATTCTGCATTATGCATCTGTCAACTCTTCACTCCTAATAAGTGCTGACGACGACACAGTCCGTCCAGAAGGTTTAGAATAATCTGCTGGCTATCAGAGTCCATTAATCAATGGATGGAAGCAGCCTCACGATAATCGAGATTCTCACAGGCACAGCCGATGTAAGCAGATGGTGACAGCCAGTGGATTTTCTTTACGTGTTGCATACTTGCACACGCTGATCCTTAGCCGCCATCATTCTTCAGTAACTGACGCTTGGCAGCGCTAGGTTTCCGACTGTTCTTCTTCAGACATCCTATATACTATACTAAAATTTCTCATCTTCATCCTATCCACTGATCAGTCAGAAAATGACAGAATTCGTTAACCTAACCACAACGGAAATCCAAACTAGCTTACTTCAGCTCACGAACTCTGGTTTACCTATTCTTCCCCTTGTTTTCATTTGACCTGACGCCGAATGTAATAATATATAGGAGTATGATACATACCGGGAGACTGCATGGAAGAGTCGCAGGCCTTTGATCCGTTCAAGCACACGCTTATTTACCTTTACGAGCCGTGATGATTAAATTGCAGCATATAAAAAAGCTGGGCTCCTTCAGAGTCCACGCCTTGGCCAGCAATCAAACCTGGCTAGCTGCAGGTCAACAGCCCGATCGGGAGGGATGCAGTGCAGAGAGACAGAGACGAGGACATCATAATCTTGCACAGAAAGTTAGGTGTGTAATCACTAATCACTGGCACGCACCGGTGGTAATCGTGAAAACGATGCTCATCTCTCGTGCCGCTCGTGAAATAAAAAACCAGCGCGCAGTGGCCGTTTCTGGATGATGGAATTAAATGCGTGTTAGGACAGTTTGTCCTGACAAGCTATACGTATGGGTATCCGTGCTTCATCTCGCTGATTCTTGCTGACTTAATTACTGTACGCGTGCATTAACTGAACATATAGAATAACACATTCTCACCTTAACTATGTAAGGTTGGTGGTGCAGCAACGAATCGGTTGGATGAGTTGGACGGGTAACAAATACAGCAATAGGCTAGTGCACAAGAAACGTCGTACGTCAGCTGGAGTGTGGTATGCTCTTGGAAAATTCCTGCATTTGGTAATGGAAACACGGACTATTCACTGAGTCAAACGTGGCAAGCAAGACAGGGGAAATGGATTGAATAGTGCTTCGCCCCTCCACGCTTGACCAAGCGCGAGCTGCCCTGCGCGGCTGCGCCGTCCTCACTTGGCCTGGTCGTCCCACCCAGAGTCCAGAGACCGGACGAACGACTCGGCACGGATGGATGGATGGCGAGGCCGAGGCGTGACGAAAAGCCACAAGCAGCTCAGGCTTGCAGTGCTGCTCCAGCGTCCAGGCTCTATAAAAAGTCGTGGTCGTCCCCGACACGGGGGGAAGTCGCAAACGGTATGCGAGAAATGATGTTCTGTGGCGCGGGCAGCTTCAAGGACGTCGACAAGGAGGAGGGCGCGGCCGGCGCCGGCGCCGGCGGAGGGAAGCCGTCCGCCAAGGCGAAGACGAAGGCGGGCGGCAAGGCGAAGCAGGGGAAGAACAACAACCCCTACGCGTCGCGGGGGCTGGACAAGTTCTCCGTCGTGCTGTCCGAGCTGAAGTCCAAGCGGGAGAAGATCCTGCGGCGCGTCGGCTCGGACGTCGACGCCGACCATCTCATGGTCCGGTTCGTGCAGTCGGAGAAAAAAGGGTGGGTGCCCATCGTCGTCAAGCTCCCGCACGAGGAGGAGCAGCAGGCTGCCGACGGCGCCAAGAAGAAGCAGAGCAAGCAGGCCAGCAAGCCGGCCTCGCAGTCGTCGACGCCGCCCACGGAGCCTTCCAGCCCCAAGGAAGACCCCGTGGCGGTGCAGGCGAAGGCAACCGTGCCGCCGGCGAAGAAGAGTAAGGCCGGCGGCGTGCGGTGGTCCTGGGCCTGGGGAAGGAAGATGATGAGGCCGTGCCATTACTGGCCGCTGGCCATGACGCTGCTGCTGCTGTGCCTCGTGGTGTTCGGGAGGGTGTTCGCCATCTGCTGCACCTCCATTTGGTGGTACCTCTTGCCCATCTTGAGCGGGGAGGAAGCCCTGAGCGCGGGGAGATCACCGGCGACGAAGCCCCGCAAGGATGTGGGCTTCAAGGCCGGCGACAAACTAGCGGTGGCGCCGCCTAATTCGCATGGCAAGAGGAGCAGCAGCGCTGGCGCCGCTCATGAGATGATTTCACCGAGAAGCCATGCACATCGAAAGAAGGGGTAACTTGCAGGATGTCTTGTGCTGTAGTTTGTAAATTTTGTGTAGTTGGGCGGCCAGAAAGATCAGATTTTCGTGGTTATCTTTCCTCCCTTTGTTAGAGTTGATTTTGACAGAAAGAACAGGATCTTTACCTTTTCTATTCGGGATAAAAGATCTAGAATATGAACAATGACGAGAGAGGGGTGCCGATGTGAGACGGCTTGGCGGAGGAGCTGGAGTCGTCCATGAGGATGTCGATGTTGCTGTAGAGTCTGATGGTGCGGTTCAGCAGTGGCGCGGTGTCCCAGCGGTGAAGTCCGGTGGCGGCGAGGCAATGGAGCTCTCCGTCACTGGCTGCGCACCCTATAAATCGGATTAGGGTTATGTCGGTGGGGCGACTGTGGCTGCTCACGGTGAACCTCGTGAAGAGAGCCATCGGCCCCCACCTCTCTTTATAGCGTAGTGTGATGGGGGCACACCAACCATGTAGGGTTGGACGTCTCCGATCAGGGCGCGAGGTCAAGGCCCAACTCGACCATTGAACCGAGCTGGAGAGATCACCACTAACAATCTCTCATTTGATCTCACCTTATTATTTAAATTTAACTTACTTTATCTCTGCTTCTATTCCATCACATATCAGTGCATAGAGCGTGCCTCATCGTCACGGTCGGTTGCCGTTAGATTAAATAGCTACAATGCACTTCTCTGTTTTAAAACAGATTCTCAATTGGGCCCTTATTGTCCAGGAATCATAAGTTTTCCCTAAAACCCATGCGGCTAGATGTTCTCTGAACACGTTGGGTGGTAAGCCTTTTGTAAGCGGATCCACGAGCATCTTTTATGTTCTTATATGCTCAAGACTAATTATATGATCCCGGACTTTGTCTTTCATAACATAATACTTTATGTCAATATATTTGGCAGCACCAATTGACTTATTGTTGTAAGCATAACATACTGCTGGATTATTAATGCAGTATAACTTGAGTGGTTTATATATATCGTCTACCACTTTCAACCCGCATGAATTTCTTCAGCCAATTCGCCTGCCCTGTGGACTCATAACATGCTATAAACTCGGCATACATTGTGGACAATGTAGTGACGATTTGCTTTAAGCTTTTCCAAGATATAGCTCCTCCTACGAGAGTGGATATGTATCCTGACGTGGATTTTCTATCATCTTCCGTATAGTCAGAATCTGTATACCCCTCTATGTGTAGGGAATCAAATCTTCTGTACGTTAACATGAGACTCTTCGTACCTTGCAGGTAACGTAAAACTTTCTTTACTAATTTCCAGTGTTCTATTCCTGGATTACTCTGATATCTGCCAAGTAACCCAGTAACAAATGCTAAGTCAGGGCGAGTACACACTTAAGCATACTGTAAACTTCCGACAGCAGAACTATATAGAACCGTTTTTATTTGATCGATCTCATATTGGTTCTTGGGACATTAAAATTCCCCATATCTATCACCATTGACTATGGGAGCAGGTGAAGACTTATAATAATGCATATTGTATTTCTTTAGAACCTTTTCTAAGTATGCCTTTTGTGATAATCATAAAACCCTATTTTCTCTATCTCGGTGAATCTCTATTCCTAGAATGAATGAAGCTTCACCGAGATCCTTCATATCAAACTTTGAGAACAAGAACTTCTTTGTTTCTAGTAGTAGATTAACATCACTGCTAGCGAGCAAGATGTCATCCACATACAAGACTAGGAAAATATATTTCCCATTTTTGAAATTTTGTATAAACACAATTATTCTCTATATTTTTTGAAACCCAAAATTTCTTATTGTACTATCAAACTTTAAATACCACTATCTTGAAGCTTGTTTTAAGTAAATAGATTTCTTCAAGCGGCATCACATACGTTCTTTTCCTTCCACAACAAAACATTTCGGTTGTGCCATGTAAACATTTTCCTCCAAATCCCCATTTAGGAACGTCGTCTTTACATCCATCTGATGTAATTCTAAGTCGTAATGTGCTACAAGCGCCATTATGACTCTAAAGGAATCCTTTCATGAGACTGGAGAAAATGTCTCATTGTAATCTATGCCTTCTCTTTGCGTGAAACCTTTTCACCACAAGTCGCGCTTTAAATCTTTCTATATTTCCTTTGAAGTCATGTTTAGTTTTGTAGACCCATTTACAACCTACTGTCTTGGCTCCTTTAGGAATTGTTTCTAAGTTCAAAACATCGTTGGTTTTCATTGATTCCATTTCATCTTCCATGGCTTCAAGCCACTTGGATGAGTGAGCGCTTTTCATGGCTTCTTCAAATGAGGTGGGATCACCCTCCATTTGAAATTCCTCACATTCATAAACTTCGTAGTCGTCATGAATGACTGATCTCCTGACTCTTTGAGACCTTCTAGGGGCCTCGTTAGATGACGCTTGTTCTATATGAGGCTGTTGTTGCGCTCCCTCATGTGTGACAACGGGTTCTAGGGGATCCTGAAAGATAAGTTCCTCATGTTCATTCATTGTTGCCACAAGAGAACTAATAATAGGTGTTGTTACTACAGTGTCTTTTACTGTTGGTACATCAACAACAGGTAGCGTGAAGAATGGCTCCTGAACCATAGGAGTAGGCACGTATACCCGCTTCTCTTCAAAACTAATTTCTCGTGCTACCATGCTCCCCCTAATCATATCATCCTCCAAGAAGACAGCATGCTTATTTCTACAAACTTTGTTTGTCTGTCAGGACAACAGAAACGATAACCTTTTGACTTTTCTGAATAGCCAATGAAATGGCAACTGACTGTCTTGGAGTCTAGCTTCTCTATGTTTGAGTTAAATACTTTTGCCTTAGCTGGACTGAAACAACCCCGATTTCCGCGAAGGGAAATCCACAGAGTCGAAGTGTAATAAGACCGTTGTAGATCATATTACCCAAATTCTAGTCGAATATCACATCCATACCATGATAATATCAGAGTACAAATAGTGTGGAATTACATAAATTTATTACATCGCCGCATTGGCGGAATCAAAGGTAGCATTCATTCAGAACAGCTTGAAGATAAGATCGCCAAACTCGAGCGTAGGAACGACCCCCTCAACCGTCAAACTCCTCAGAGCTATACTCCTCATTGAGAACACGTGTGTGCCAAAATTTATCAAGACAATTTGTAATCGCCACTCCCAACCCTATGAGTATTGCTTTGTGGAAATTGGATGCAAATTGGATATAATTAAGAGGAACCTATAAATTTGGGGTTTCCTATGCATTAGCATATCAAGTATATAATAATGATTGGTCAAGTTTTAACACCATTCACACACCCATTCTACCCCATTCCCATTCTAGAGCCGAGTTTCGATCACGGGATCGATAAACCACCATCTCCACACCATCACCCTACCACAGCCATACCATCGCTCAATCGACAGCCAACTCCCTCTAAGCCTTTGTCTCAAGGCCCGTAGCCCCAGCTACGTCCGAACACTCACTTCGGGGGGGAGAGAAGGACTCATCTCACTATCTAGTTTAAGCGAAACCTGAGGAAAGGTCCATAGCCAGGCCGATTCGGCATATGTATCGATCGATCAACCATACACTCTGCAGAGGTTTTACATAACCACAAGATCTCGCCTTCCTCGGTGACCGTAAATCAATCGGGCTAATTCCGGCGCTTGCTCGCCTAGGATAATGCCACTCTACCATTTAGCCCCTGGTACACCCCAAGTTCGATCAGGGGTGGTTTGGCTCTGTGAGTCATGAGCCGGGTCCACAAGGTCTCCATGAAGTCTCGAGGAAGGGTGTGGGGAAATCCTCCGCACCCGTACCTTCCTCACACTATCCGCTATCAACCTAGCAGTAGTGAAAATATCCTACCAAGTAGTCCGGCCGTCCCGCACCATATAGGGCGAGTGGTACGTAAGGCTTCCCGGTGAATCTGAGTACAAGTAAGTCCTTAGGGATGACCAAACCAGAATGTCTCCATCGGGGTTTCCATTTACCGTGCCACCACAGCACCTCCACCACAGGCTCCTCCCATCATGAGTTCACACCTGGGGCCACCTCATATACCATTTATCCAAAGACAGTATCCATTCCGGGGGTGCCAGTGTAGCACCCCATGGCAAGATTTGCCCTGTGCTCGTCAGATACTCCAACTTGGTCGACACAACCCTCACCTCCACGCACCCCCCACACACACACAAGACTCTCCCCATAGTTCAATTATCACCGATTTCCAAACACGGATCAATGTAGTGTAAGCGTAGTAGAAGTAATAAGCATTGGAATATAATAGCAAGCGTGTTACTAGCCTAACAGCAGGGTAAGCAGGGGTAAGGTTGCATCAAGGTAAAGGCCATCAAGAAAGCATACTACCATGCAAGTCCTACCATAGTGTGATCATAACAACAAAGTAAAGCACTAGCATTTCTATTTTAGCCATGCGTAATAGGTGCTACGAGATTGGGTGGGATGTGGCACCTTCAGTGTAGTCATCTCCGTACTCCTCACGGTACTCACGATCCTCGTTCGTCCGGTTCTCCTCCGAGTCTGCAAACGATCGCATTATAGTCGCTTTAGCGACGTCTATAGAATAGCACAAAGAAGCAATGAAAATTCAGAAGAGCCAAATGCACTCAAACATGGGTTCATTGCGTAGAGCTTGATTTTAGATGAATTTTGGTCCTGGTTTCGTATTTTTCCGAGGTCGTATGAATTAGTTATTAATTTCTGAAGATTAAATCTATTTCTGAAAATGGAAAATGCTGAATTAATCCTGGGCTGACACGTGTCACGCTGTGGTTGGTCCACGTGGCTTGCTGACGTCAGCATGACGTCACCTCGGCTGTGCTGGCTTCTGACATGTGGGTCCCGCGTGATGTCAGCATGACGTGTGGGCCTAGAGTGTCTGTGCCACTGACATGTGGGGCCAGGTCAACGGTCAACGGTGACCGGTCAATGGTCAATACAGGCTGGGTCCGAACTGGGCTCGGGTTGGGCCGGTATGGGCCGGGCCGACCCGGACACGTGGCACGCT